AGAGTCTGAATTCTTCTAGTTTTCTCTAATATCTGGCTATAATTCTCTAGGAACAAAACCTCAGTTTTTGATGTCCCATAAACTAAAACTGAACAAATGAACATTAATTTCAAATGACAAGACTCATGATGCCTAATGTATGGGTCACACAGAGAGTTCACCGGAATGTCTGATTGTCATAACCAGGGACTCTCAAACTACAAACCAGGAGGAGAAGTTGGTCAATTCACACTGTGGAAAGCTATCCCCAAACTATCAGAACAAGACTCTCGTGAAACTTTATCTTCTTGATTTGTTTTTCTTTCTAATACCTATTCAGCTGCCAGGTAATGTAATTAGAATTTCATAATCAGTCATTTCTGCTGATAACTTGACATGGTATTGGATCTCTCGCATTAAATTCAGATTTAACATCTCCTTAGACATCCTTTAGTAGCCATAAGCTATTTAATAGCATGAATAAATTAATTCACCACCTTGCCCTGGAAATATAACACAGGTTCAACTTATTGTTGATTTTCAAAAAATATTTAATCTTGAGAGTTTGGGATATTTAAGAGATTTTTATAAACTATACATTTTTGAGTGTTAGTATTAAACACTGTGCAGGACATGACATTTTCTTAGATGAATCTTCATGAACACATGATACTTTGGCTAATTCAGAAAAATTTTTTTAAAAGTCGAAATTTTCAGTTGAGAGGTTAAAGAAATCTGATGAAAATTTGACGTAACCAAAATTAATTTTGAGCTTAGTTTAACCAAATATCTTTTTTAAATCTGTCGTGATGCTGCATTACTTATCTGCAAACTTCAGACCAAAAAAAAAAAAAAATGACAGGCTTTAAAATTATATCTTATAAATACTAGATGAAATTTCTTCAAAATTTGAACAATCTATTCAAAGATCAACATCCTAGGACAGTCCTTATTTTTTAAAAAAAAATAAGGACAATAAAATGTATCTTGTCTCATGCTGCTTTGATATTTTTAGGATCTAGGCAAATATTTTTTATCTGGTTTCTTCTCTGCAAACACAAATTTCATCAGTGTCTACCAGAAATACCATGGAATTAGGTGTTATAGTAAAGACAAGCATGTTCCATTTCTAAGTAGTATGGGAGATAAATTTGTAAAATTAAAATGAAACTTGCATCTTTTCTTACTTTTAAAAATTTAAGTTACCATGACAACAAAATAACCTGAAGAATGCAATAAATCCAATAGTTCATTACTTCAATTAGGCACTTTCCCCCCAAGAAAACACATTTTCCCCATTCAAGAATTTATAATATACTGGACAAAATCTCCCAATAAAATCAGTTAATTCAAAATCTCCAGTTAAAACAATGCATCTTTGAGAAATAACATCTGCCAGAAATTTCAGTATCCTACTGAGTCTTGAAATTATTAATTCCTTTACCTAATCCCCAGGCATCTTGAATTTTAACAATTTCAAATAATTTCTCTGATAATGCCAAAAGGAGCTAAGGATGAAATGATAACAATTACTTAGGAATTAGCATTTTGAATGACAGTGCAAAAGCCCAGTATTATTTGGGAACCAGCCAATATCAGAAGACAGAGAAATGACATTCTTCCCTTATTAATTAGGTGATAGAATTGAATACTACTTTAGCAATTTGAATATTTATTTTCATTAATAATATTTATGCACTTGCTGGTTTCTACAGGATTTTTAGATAATAAAAATATCATTCTTCGAACCTACATTAAAATAGCTCAGTATATGATATCTTTCACCCCATTTACTTGTGTCCTTAGAAATAAAAATATGAAGTTCATACAATTGCAAATGAAAAATAATATTTAGCAAAATGGTATTTTAGACATTTGTGTGACTTTCATTTATCTAGTTTACCATACTAGCTCTCATATTATTTTTAACTGAATAAATTTGGTCTATATTCAGGTTTTACATAATTGAGTCACTTTATAACCTTTTGTGAGATTATATAAGCATCAACAATAATGAACCCTGTAGGAAAAAATTAGGTTGAGCTGAGTGCATTACCTTTGTACATCCAATTAGCATCATTTAGATACAGTGAGACTTTCCTGTTGTTAATAGTTATCAGCCTATTACAGAAACCATTAGAATATGGATGCAAAAAATTAATACAGACAATTCTACTCATTTACTGAATCTCATTTATTCTTGCATATAGCCAATTATATGTATATATAATCCTTTGCAACTGGGAGAAATTTATTAATGACACTATTACGTACAGACATGATGTAAAATGTGATTGCTATGAAGAATTATACTGTACAAGCAGTGTTGAAGCTAATTTTTTGACTCTGAGAACATATAGTTTCTGTCTCCTGACTTTATGTTAAGTTGTTACTGGAACATAATCACTGGGTAGCATTCAGTGGTACACAATATGCCAGGCACTCTCCTAAGCATTTTATGTACATTACTATATTTAATCTTTACCAAAAGTCTAAAAGTAATTATTCTCATTTCCTTTCTGAATCTCAGAGGTACAGAGATGTCTATACACACATGTCTAGGGATGGACAACAAGTAGAATTCTGACTAGGGTTTCTGACCCAAGTCTGACTACCTCTTCTTCACATGTTACATTTCTTAGGTCAGCTTTCTCTCTGAAAATGTTCTTTTATTGACTTTGTAGCTATGTCAGTCTAGTCCTAGAATGACCAAAAATTTGACATTCAATAGCTTCGGGCTATCCTAGAATACTTTAGTCACATGATCTGAGACAGCACTGGGATATTAACAGAGGGAAGACAGGTTGTTGACAGTTCGTCCCAGGTAAAGTTATTAGAGCTAACAAATAAAAAGGCAATCCAGTTTAATTTGGACCTCAGATTAAATTTGAATTTCAAATATTTCCTGGAACATATGAACACACGTGCCTATTTATTATTTATCTGAAATTCAAATTTAAGTGGGTGTTCTGTGTTTTAACTCAGCAAAACACTCTCATTCACCCTCCACCCAGCTATGAATTGTAACTGTAGCTCAATACCTAAAGAGACTTTCAAAAATACATTAGCATGAATCTTTGAAAACCATAACAAGAGAGGGACTAAAAACATATGGAGAAAATAATATTAATAGAAAAGATCATCAATAAATTTAGATATGAACTTATTTTATATTTGCTTTAAAAATCCATGAAAATAAATTAGGATAATATCAGTAAGTTGTTAAATATTTTAACTTTTAGTAATGAGTTTTGGCTAGTTGCTTTCCATTCATCTTTGACCTGAGATTACACAAGAGGAATAAGAAGCCATTATAACATTATTACTAAGAGAAAAAAAATCAAGAAAAGAATAATGTAAATTAAACTCTAAAAGTCCATTTTTGTGCTTGTAGATTTAACAAACTTCTGAATATTGGCATTTAAGTTAATATATAATGGTTCAAGTTTTCCAGAAAGTTTTTCTCTACTATCTACTTTCATCTACGCTGCTTTATTTTTAAGAAAACATGAAATTTGAGATAAAAACCTTTTCTGAGGGTCTATTTATCCCTCTTTATAAAGTTGGATCAAAATAGTCATGTCTCTACTGTAAACTTGTCCTGAGAATATGATTACTTAGATGCTAAAAATGAAAACTGTATGTACTAAATCTTCTTTTCAGTTGAATTCAAATAAAAATCTTGCTTCTCATCATTATGTTCTTCAAATTCACATCTGGCTTCTTTTATAAAACTGCAGTACACTCATTCCTTGACCTGAAATTTTATGTGTCTATACTTCTTCTGGAAAATAAATTTCCCCTGCCATTGCTAGCACTATGGCAATGGAACAGAGATTTAACAAAAGTAAGTTATGTTTTATCTCAATGAGTCACATCATACTTGGAGTTCAAGAATATATCACCTAGCCCTATGATACTTCCTGTCTGACGCCATTAACTTCCTGCAGAAGCAGAAACTCCCCTTCATTAGTCATTAAATGTCCAATAGCATATGGACTACATACCCAAACAGTAATTATTCATCGGGAACTTCAATTCCTGTCCTGTACTCTGTAACTACATTCTGTCTTCCTTTTATTCCTCACTAAGTTTATATTTTCTATTGTTACAGGAATTTCAGAAAGAAATGCTCAAAGACACAGAACTCAGGTAAAACAAATAAGATTTACTTGCAAGGCAGTGAGAAGAGACCTCCAGAAACTGGTCTGGTCAGAGTCCCCCCCTCTCTTTTGTTAGTCTCTTCTCTTTATACTTTTGTTAGTCATTATCTCCTTCCTTGTGGTCTTTGATGTGTAAATACAATTCAGGTTCCTACCTGTAAGTTGCAGACATAAGATAGGCACATATACATTGTAAATTCACTTAGGCATTTGCAGCTTTGTTAGGTTAAAATGTTATCTATAATTAATTACTGGTTAACATCTTAAAGATCAAGAGCAATGAAAAAAGCAAATCTTAAAGGAATACATTGCTTATTTTGCTTCTACAATTACCTTCATATTCAATCTACTAAGCTACTTAAAACTTTTTTCTTTCTATCAATGTGATTTACAGGAAGCTTCAGGTCTACGTGTACTTTTGCTAGCAAGGCATGGTAATTGTTTTTTTAGTTTGGACATCTGGCCCAATTCAGGGGTGGGGGGGTTGCAGTTAAGAAATGTTGCAGGCATTTCCTTATCTAGGGATGGTGCTATTGCCTGCAGTCATTTTACATATCCCATAACACTATTCCATGATTATAGCCTCTCCTTGGATATAAACTCTACTTCATTCTTCTCTCCACTCACATATGTATCTGTAAAACTCTAAGTCTGATCAAGTCCATGCATTTCCTTCTTTAAGCAACTGAATATTGCTCGAAAATGGCATATACCTTGGCCCACTTGTTTCATTTTAAATGACGTGATCCTAAGCCCTGCCTGACCATCCTCCTCTCTTTTCCCAGTAAGCTTGAGTACTCACCATGGAAACCCCAACCTTATCATTTATCTCTTCTCTCAGATGCTCTTTTTTCCATCATTGCCCTATTATTCACTAAAAAGCTCATTTTATATCTCTTTCAGAAAAAAAAGCCTTCAGATAAGAATTCCACCACTTTCCCCCACCAATTTATAAAACATATCTGCTTGTCATAATAATTTTTCTTTCTTTCCCTTTGTTCTGCTTTTATCAAAGTCCAATTCTTCACTAGTTTCAAGTCCACCTGAGACTTAAATCCTGGTAAACCTATGTCTTGGGTGGGCATAGCAAGGATGATCACAGCCGTTATGACCTCTTTATTAGCTGTCCAGTGGTTGTTGGAATGCAGAACTACTGGACATCCACCAAGGCATTCTTTTCTATGTGGGAACTAATGCCTTGGGGGTCCAAGATGCTTTTGCTGACTTTCTCCCAGGCTGACCCTCATATGAGCTCCATTTAGATGTGAACCCCTGGTCTTACCCTGACCTGTATGATCCTAAAGCCAAATGGAGGCTCAGGTATATAGTATCCCCTTCCAACCCTCTTCCTTGCAAATTTACCCTCAAAGGTAGGTGCTTTGAGGCTGTTAGTTTTGCAGTACTTGTGGTTGAAACTTTGCCCCATTTCCCTCCTGTGCTGGAGCAGGCTGGGCATCCCCTGGTCCTCATTGTCAACTCTCCATTTCCAAATCCCTCTTAGAACACTTGTATATCTTCTGTGCAATGTGTAATAAAATATCTCTCTTGTTCTTTTATTTTAAGGCCAAGTCATCAGTGTAGACTTTGAAGCACTTAACCTATGTGTTTCTCAAGAGTATGCTCTTTGGATTATCTTCTGTCCCTCTCTGGTATTGATTATCACTTTGTTTCTATACTATTAATTACTTTTAACATGTGTAATGTTTAAATATTAGCTGTTTTTAATGACTGCCAAATGTACATTTTATTCGTGATCAACTGCTCCCTTCACATTCTCAAAGCAGAAATCTTGATTCCTCTTCCCCCACCTCTCTCCCTCTCCCTCCTGCCACCCCGCACTTTATGCTTCAGTCCCTCACTAAATAGTTCCAGTTGACCACACAAAAATGTAGTACTTACCATGATGATATATTTTTCTTATCTGTTGCATTTAATCCACTGACACTTTCCAACAATTTTGTCTTCAATACATGTTTCAGATTCTTTACTTCTCTTTATCTCTACTACTTTTCATCTACAAAAAACTAGAGTCATGGGAAGGTCAGCAGCTGTATAAAAAATTAAATACAGTACCCATCCTCAAAGAGCTCTCCATGTAACATGGAGTAACATATGTATTTTTTCATGTTTCACTGAATAGATCCTATATTAAAGGAAAGTATTTTTTTTCTTTAAAGGAACGTATTTTAATAATAAGGGACACATTTAAGAAATAAATTAATGATAATTTTGGTTGTAAGAGAAATTTTGCATGAGAAAATTATCTTTCAGCTTTTTCCCATGGAATTATTAGAATTTTACTATCTGAGAATGAGTATAAGTGTCAAAAGGAGAAGAAAAAGATGAGAAGCCAGATGACCAGTAAGGAAGCTGGTAAGCAACTCTGTGAATTTTAATTCAGGTACTGAATCTGGGCATTGGAAAAAAGAAATTCTACTGGTAGTTTCCTTCTTTCATTCAACTCAATTTTAATTGTGAGAAGAGATGGGTGATTTTACAGAGTGATGTAACAAGCAGATCCTTCATGGCATTTAAATTTTTGTGACTTCTTATACTGAAATTATGTAACTATTGTCTCTATTATCAGCCAAATTATAACATCCAAAAATAGTGAGAAATGTGAGCCAGAATAAAACAACCAGAAACAGACTGACTGCTATTCTAGAGTTATTTTGTGTTCTGCTTTCAGTTTCCAGAAATGTTGTCAAAATTTCCCAAAAAATGAAAAGATAGTTTCATTTTATTATTTAAAATTCTTGATTGTGTTTCAAGTTAAAATCAGTTAAAACATTATTGACCTAGTATCTCAGTATAAGACCTTGCATCTTCACCAAAGTTATAAATACCAAAGTGCTCTATGAGCCTAAAGCAAAATATTGTGGAGAGACACTGAAAAACTTTAAGGTAGACAGGCATCCAAGATATGACTTATTCATGCTTTTATATTTTTAGTTTCAGTACTGAAGCTGAAATTTTCACTATATTATGTTAGATTTATCTTGCATATATTTTAAGCATTTAGAATGAAATGACAGATCCTATCAGTTATATCAAGATTTTAATCTATAAAAATGCCCTGTGAGGCTATTATATGTTTTTACAAAGGCAGTAATGTGTTCTGATAGTATGCACCACACATGATTCCTTATTGTTTTTCGCCAGTATACTAAGCAGTTACATTGATGGTCACAAGGGATATGTGGGAGGTGAAACATTTATGCACATCTAAAAGTCCTCATTTGCCAATCCATCCTCTACACCTCTGAGCCAGCGGACAAGTGCTGTAACTGGAAGGAGGAAGGCAGAGTACTGAGATAAAATATGAATAACTTCCATAACAGTTCTCCTGATAAACTCCAGTTTTTTATCAAAATCTTCCCTGCCTTTCTGAAAATTTGCTTAAATCTTATTCCTTCTGATTACATAGATCATGTATTCTTGTTTGGGCTTTTAGTACATTTATAAAACCTTCCATATACTAGTCACTATGCTAAGAGCTTTATATGGATTGTGTCATTTAATTTTTCCCAACACCTAGTGAGATTGGCACTATTATTATCCCCATTTGGCTGATTAAAAAAGAAATCAAAATTTAAAGATCTCAGTGACCGCCTGATGTTCACAAAGCTAGACTATGAGGGCTTTGGTTGAGAAAGTCTTCTCCAGAATAATTTTTAAATCAGAAAGGTCATTGAGGCATATACTGAAACATTCCTTTTATTCCAAAAATAAACATTTTCCTATTGAAGTTTAAGATTTACTTGATTTCCATGGAAACAGCCCAATTGCCCATCAACTGGAAACTGGATTTTTAAAATGTGTTTTTTTTAATAAAATAGAGTACTGCTCAGCCACAAAGAATGAGAAATTAGAGGCATTTATAGCTACATGGATGCACATTGAGGCGGTACTCGTAAGTGAAATAAATAGGACACACATGTGTAAATATTGAACAGTTTTTCTAGTGTGAGAAACTTAAAGTGTAGTTAAGGATCAAAATGTATAATAGATAATGTGAAATAGGAAGAAAAGGGGCAAAGAGGAATGAGAAGTGGGAGGGGTAGGGGAAAGGAAAGAGGAGAATGGAATTAATATGAGAAAAGGAAAAAATGGAAACAAAGTCTTTGTAAATAGGGAAGGGTGGAGGGGTTGAAGGGAGGGCAGGGGAATGGGGAAAAAATAAGAATCAAGATATATTTTGTAAAGGTACAAATCTCCAATCTTGAATGTCATTATATTGTATATCTAAAATGTACCAATAAAATTAATTTTTAAAAAAATTTACTTGTTTTCCCAGAAGACAAGATGAAGGCAGAGAAAGGGTGATAATTATATCTTCTTAATTTGAGCATATATAATATATTTGCTGTTCAGAGAAGTAATCATCCTATGAAATTGATAGATTATGTTTATTTTTTTTAATTTGATTTATGTTGTAATTTAACAGATACTATGCAATCATCCCATATTTTATTAACTATCTTATTTATATATTTAGGCCTTATATCATTGCACTAAAGAATTGAGTTATTCATACAATATTATTTATGAAATCAAAATGCATCCCTCCTCACATAACTATGGATTATAAAGTACGGTGGACCCTTGACTTATGAACTGAATCGGTTCCTGAGGGCTGGTTGTAATCCAAGTTGGTTGTAAGTCAATACATTTGAGATCTGGATGTTTACCTGGGTACATGCTATAAATAACAAGAGATAGATGAATCTTTCATTAACCTAATTGACCCAAGTTGTTCATATGTCAGGCCAGTGGTAACTTGAGGGTCCACTGGATTCACATACCATATAATTCATCCATTTCAATACTATTAAGTCTTTTTAAGTATATTCACAAAGTAGTATGACCATTACCACAATACATTTTAGAACATAATCTGATCCCAAAAAGAAACCCTTTACATATTAATAATCATTCTTCATCTTCTCCTCAATTTCTCAAGGTCAGAAAGCCACTAATTTACTTTTGATGTCTCAATTTGCCTATTTTAGACATTCCATATAAATGGAATCTATAATCTTTTATTTTACTGGCTTGTTCCCCTTATCATATATTTTCAAGATTCATCCACATTATCATATATATCAATACTTTCTTCCTTTTTGTTGCTGAATAGGATCCACTGTTTGAATATGCCAAGCTTTATTTGTTAATTCATTAGTTGATTGATATTTGAGTTGTTTTCAAGTTTTGGCTATATTGAATAGTTGTGCAGTAAATATTAGTGTACAGAGTTTTGTTGGTATGTGTTTTCGTTTCTCTTAGGTATATACCTATGTAGAAGTGGACTTCCTGGATCATATGGTAAATTTATTTTTAACAGTTTGAGGCACTTCAAACCATTTCATAAAGTGGCTGCACCATTTAATTTCTCCCCAGGAATAAATGTAAAGACTTTAAATTTTCCACATCCTTACCAACACTTCCAGTGCTTACTATTATCTCTCTTACTGTAGCCATTCCTGTGGTGAAGTAGTATTTCATTACATCTTGATTTTTATTTCTCTAATGGCTGATGGCATTGAGCCTCTTTTCATTTGTGTATGTGTTGTTGTGTTTTTCACTTGGTGCATATTATTTTTGGAAAATAACTATTCAGGTGCTTTTGTTTTGTCTTGTTTTTATTTTTTGTTTGTTTTTTATTCTTTGATTTTATTGGTACATGTTAGGTATACAATATACTGACATTCATTACTGGGAATTTGTACCTTTGTTCTTGTTTTTTGAGACAGCGTCTTACTTTGTAGTTCAGGCTGGCCTTGAACTCACTATGTAGCCCAGGCTGGGCTCAACTTGAGGCAATCCTCCTGCCTCAGCCTCCCAAGTTCTGCGGTTATAGGTTTGTACCACCATCCCTGGCTATTTGTTCATTTTTAATTGGGTTATTTTCTAATTATTTTTAAATTTAATTTTATTGTATACATTTAGCATATATAACATTATGTTTGGATGTACATATACACATTGAAATTATTACAATGGGCAAACAGATTTACATATCTATCAATTTTTATAGTTACATTTTGTGAGTGTACATGCATGTGTGTGTACTAAGAGCATGTCTTGGCAGATTTACAGTTTACAGTAGAAAATTACTGAGTATAGTCATCATGCTATACATTAGATCTCTAGGTATTCATCTTAACTAACTCCAGATTTGACCTACTTAACCCATTTGTCCCTATTTCCACCCCTTTCTACTTCTGGTTACTACCATCGTACATTTGTTTCTATTTATTATTACTATTTCATTTGTTTCTTCATTAGTTGATTAATATTTGAGTTGTTTTCAAGTTTTGGCTATATTCAATAATAATGCAGTAAACACTCATGTACAGGCTTAGGGTTATTATTTTTAGATTCTGCAAACAAGTCAGATCATAAAGTATTATTCTTTTCTATATCTTGATACTGTAACTTATAGTAATGTCCCAAAACTTGTCCATCTTATCAAAAATGCCTGTATCGCCTTTGTAAAGGAGCCTGCTGCAGAGCTTTCTGGTAATGTTTCCAGGGTCCGCAGTAACATATACAAAAAAGGAACAACCTAATTTAAAATGGCCAAAGGATCTAATAGACACTTCTCAAAACAAGACATACAAATGGCCATCATGTATATGAAAAGGTGCTTAACATCATTAAGCAACAAGCAAAAGTGTTGCAATTTATAACTTGACTTTAACAATGTTTTCTTGGTTTTGAATTTTATCTAACTGGAATATATGTACAGATTATGTAATGACTTCCTTCTTTTGCCTTTAATTATATTTGTTAGGTTCATCCATGCAGTATAACATTACCCTGTATGAGAACTCCAATATTTTTAGCATTTTCTTGATGAATATTTGTGTTGCTCTTATTGATGGTTGATTTTAAAATCTGATGTTACAAATATTCTTATATCTGTAGACTTGTATACACATGCAGGAGATTCTCTAGGAATATATTAAGAAGTAAATATTTTGCATATCTTCAACTTTATGAGGTAATTTTATAGTGTTACCCAAAATATTTATTTTAAAAATATGTACTTTTAATTCTTGTCACACAGCTTTTATTTATGTGTAAAATTTACATACCCGTCTGGTGAGTTATGATATTTTGCTATGACTTTATTTTTATTTATTTAATAGTAAATGAGAAAGACCAGCTGTTTATTTGTTCACTGACCATTTCCTGTTTTTTCTTTTTCTGTTTTTCTTTTTTTTTTGCTTAGGGTTAGCTAAATCCCCAGCCCCCATTTCCTGATTTTTGAAGTATCTGTATAAGCCATATGCTCATTTTTTAAAATTTGAACTGATTTTATTCACTGATTAGAAAGAATTATTTCATTATATGTGTTGCAAAATTTTTTGGTTCTAAGTATGTTAGTTTATTGTTTATATGTGCTACTCTTTCTGATTTGTGATTATTTTCATTCTCTGGAAGGAAGAAATTCTTAGTTTTAATGTAGTAAATTAAAAAAAAAAGACAAATCAGTCTTTTCCTTAGAGGGTTTCATGTTTTAATGAAGAAAACTTTTAATATCCTAATGTCATGTAGATATTCTCTTATTGTGTATTCCAAAATTTTATCTTTAACCTCTTTGCATTTGAATTTTGTGCATGGTATGTGAAGCAAGTTACAATTTCAATTGATTTACCCGCAAATGTTGTTATGTCATTGTCATTAATCAAAAACTTCATCTTCTTACCAAATTAAGAGTACTATCTCTGTCTTATATGCTTGGACATGTTTCAGGTCACTGTGATCTATCTCATTGGTCTATCTATCTAAACTTACCAATATAGCATACTTGTTATTTTATAGCTTTGTAAGAAGTCTTAATATCTATTATGTCATGCTCACCAACATGTTGTTTTTCTTCAAGAGTGTCTAGAACCTGTCCATTTCCATGAAAATTTTGAATTGACATCTCCAAGTAAAGAAAACAAAGCAACAGTGAAATTAGTGGAAATTGCATCAAATTTACAAATCTGTTTGGTAAGGACTGACATCTTTACAATGTTGTTTTCCAATTTGTGATCATAGTATATCACTGTTGACTTATATATTTAAATGACCTCCAAAGGCAACATAATTTTATCCATCAAGGTTTTGCATACTTTTGTTAAACTTATTCCTAAACAGTGATATTGTTTTTGCTTTAATAAATGTTATATTCTGAGGTTTTAATTTCCATTTGTGGCTTTAAAACATTGCATACTTTTGATAATAACTTTTGCATCCAGACCATCACTGAATTCTTTCATTAATTTGCATAAATTTCACGTAAAATGTTGAATAGAATTAGTATTGTCAGACATTCAGTTTTCAAATTTCCAAGGCACGCTTTCAATAGCTCCTTAATACTTATATCTTGGTAACAAAATTGCATGAGGCTTATCAAATAGACCAGAATATGTTCTCATTTCTTCCTCTGGAATTTGCAAAAGAGAAATTGCTTTGTCTTTGATCATCTGTTAAAGTAAGAAGTAAAGTCTGAAGCTTTCTTTGTATAAAGATTTTGATCGCTTAATTTATTTTATGTTTACAGAAATATAGAATTCCCATTTTCTATTTTACCTTACTCATGTTGGGCATGGTATCTAAAGAACATGAGTATTTTTTCCACAGTTTCAAATGTATTGACATGAATGAATTCTAATACTATTTATCAGTTCACTATACGCAGAACCTGTAGTTATGTCCCTTTTGAATTCTTTATGTGAATAATGTATGCTTCCTTTTTTCATGATTGAACTTGCCAAAGGTTTGTGAATTTTATTGCTCTTTTCACTTCAAAAGAGCAGACTTTTGACTTAGTTGATATTTTTCTTTTATAGATGTTTTCTAGATCATCAGTCTCCATTCTTAAATTTATTATATATAATTATAAACTATTATTATAAATTATTACATTGCTTTTGAAGTTACCTTTAATGTATTTCTATTTAGCATCATTTTCTAAAACAATTCTTGTAGGCCACAATTTTCTAATTATGGTTTTATCTGTATGTCCGTCAAAAGTTGATCTAGTATTTTCCCTATTAATTTTTTTAATTAAATTCTTTTATTGGTACATTGTAGGTATACAACACAATTACATTTCTCATTGGGAATTGTACCTTTACATAATGTGTCTTGGTTCTTATTTTTTCCCCATTCCTACCCCTCCCTTCACCCCCTCCACCCTTCCCTATTTACAAAGACTTTATTTCCATTTTTTCCACTTCTCATTATTTTCCCTATTATTAAATTATAAATACTTCTAATCCCAGCTACTTGAAGCCACCCTGGACAATTTAGTGAGGGCCAGTTTCAATATCAAAAAGAAGAAAAGGGCTGGGGATGTAGCTGAGCATGGAGGCCCTGTATTAAATTTTCAGTGCCACAAAAAAGGAAAATCTTCTAATTTCTAATATGATTTCTTCTTGTAACTGTGGAGTAAATAAAGTTGTTTTTTCATATTACAAAAGTTTTCTTGTTAACTTTTGTATTGCCTCCTAACCTTTCAAAGTTTAACACACTTCGGTAGGAAAACATGCTATGTATAATTTCAGTGTTTTTAAATGTTTTGAAACTCCTTATAAAATTTGGTAAATTTTTAAAGTTTCCATATGTCCTGTAAATACATATGTATCTTTATTTTTTTAATTTGAGGAGTTCACTACATCAAGAACATTAATTGTATTGTCCATATCATTTTTACTTTTGGTCTATTCCTTCAACAAATAGATTTATGCTAAAATATACCACCATGTCTGGAGATTTACTTATTTATTTTTAATAATTCTAAAAAATTATTTTCTTCTGTTTTAAGAATGCTGCTTGGAGTCCGGGAATTTAGCTCAGTGGTGCCACCGTCTGCCTTGCAAGCACAAGGTCCCGAGTTCAATCCTGGTACCAAAAAAAAAAGAAAGAGAGAGAATGCTATTTGGCATCTATATATGTATAATTTGCTGTCTTCCTAAAAAATCAAAACCTTTCTATCTATAAAATTTTTCTTGGGCCAGGGATTCAGCTCATTGGTTCTGCCACCTGCCTTGCAAGCGCAAGGTCCCGAGTTTGATCCCCAGTACCAAAATAAAGCAAAAAAAACCTTTTTTCTAGCAATTTTTTCATACACTAAAGTCAGTTTTGTCTGGCAGTAACATAGCTGCAGCTGTTTTGCTGGGGTTTTTTGTTTTAGTAATTTGTAGGGTAAAGTGTTCACGGTTTGTGGGTTATTGTGCTGTGCTGGAGGTAGTAGTGGTTTTTACTACCCAAAGAATGAGAATTTTTACTAGAATTCAATTCAAAATCTCATGAATGATATAATTTTTCAAGGACATTTTTTTCTTTTCTTCTGTCTTATAAAGTGTCAGAAAAATTTTTTGTAATTTCTTAGGAATGAAAACATGAATAGTTTCTAGTTCATACTTATCCTGAGGTTGTACTCCTTTGGAAGTGTCTTAGCTTTCCCATCACTAGAATACAGTACAGTCCCCAACTTACAAATGAGTTCTGTTCTGGGAGAACATTGGTAAGTCTGATACATTAGTAAATCTGACAAAATGAGTCTTATGCACCTTTGACAAAAATATACAATGTAAAGCATAAAAAGCCCAGACACACACACAAATACTATAAATAACTTCTGGAAATCCTGGGCTCTGACTGTGCACTGTACTGCTGCACACTATTTCATTTACAGTAAGCACACAGCAGCACAACTGTGACAATATCTGGCAGACATGTGTGCTATTTCCGTGATTTGTTTACATCTAGGACTAATGCATACATCTAGGTCAACTCATATCTGTGAAAGTTCACAACTCAAATGATTGTAAGTAGGGGAATTACTGTACCAACACTTACAACTTAAAGGAAAAATGGTTTAATTTGGCTCACAATTTTAGGGAATACAGTCCATGGTCAGCTGGCTACAAGGCAGAAACATCATGGTGGAAGGTGCAGCAGAGCAGAGATGTTCAGTTCATGCTGGCTGGGATGCAGAGCAGGGGAACAATGCCCACAGTGAAGGGACAAGTGAACAGATGTAGGCCCTAAGCTCTTGCCTCCATGACCCAACCATCATAAGGAATCTCAGATTTATGGCAGGGCCCTGCATTAACCGTCACCACTTTCTTTCTTTCTTTCTTTCTTTCTTTCTTTCTTTCTTTCTTTCTTTCTTTCTTTCTTTCTTTCTTTTCTTTCTTTCTTTCTTTCTCTCTCATTATTCAGTAGGCTTTGACTTGCACAAACAGTTCTTTACAAGACCATGAGATCTGAAACTTCAGTTGGTCTGATCAGCAAAGTGCCCACAGAAAAGAGCAGCATCAATTTTCAGCCTACTTTCCAAAGTTTAGGTGATTTTAACTCATCATTCAACTCATTTTCTATTCCCTTAAAAATTATAATCATTCTTTACATATTTTATTTGGAAAATTTATATATTATAATATCTAAGAATACTAATGCTAAAGTTAAGGAGAATTGAACAAATATCTGAACTTTCCAGTTTACTGACAGTGTGATTTGAGCAATTCATTTTACCTCTCTGAGCCTAAATTTATTTCTTGGTAGAGTACAAGACAGAGTAATATTCATGTGACAGTGTTATTTAGGTAATTAAATGAGTGAGTGAGTTTAAGATATGCAGTACTGTTCCTGGAACACAAAATATGTAAGTTCAAATGTCTTAAATTGTAAGTTACAAATAACTCTGCCTCACCTGCCATAGAAGGAGGAAGTTGTACTTACTACACACAATTCTGAAGATAGGAAAACTCTCAGATTGTCTTAGTGGTTTAAGGATCTTATCAATGATTGAAGTCTTTCTTAACTGCTACACAAACATGCTGTCGACTTTGTATTTTCATGCTCTGTTCTTGACATTAGCATAACCAATAAATACAGTGGACCCTCAAATTATGACTGGCCTTACATACAAACAACTTAGATTACAATTGAAATTTTAGTTTTAACTTACAACCAAAGTCATAAGTTACAACCCAAATGCAGCCGCTTGGGCAGTTGTAAACAAAGACTTGCAATTCCAGAAAAGCGTATGGAAGCTTACCTAAGTGTCAGTATGAATTGAGAAACGTGTTTGTGGACTTGATTTTGGTCAGTGCTTTATAATTTCTATGATTACTGCTAACAAAATGGCCCCCCAAAAAGCTAGTAAAGAGGCTAAGGAAGGAAAGGAAGGCAAAGGAACCAATTACAAATGAAAAGAAGGAAATTGTGGAAAAATATGAGAGTGGCATTTGTGTGATCAATCTTGATAATATGTACAGCATGTTGAAATCCACTATCTCAACAATCTTACAGAGAAAAGATTTATATAAATAAGCTAGTGTTGCTAAAGATGTTACTCAAATTAGTAAGTCACGATCAACAGTGTTAGATGAGATAGAAAGACTATTACATATTAGTGTGGATAAACAAAAGGCAGATAGCAGCTTATAGCCTGAGTCTATAATTTATGAAAATCCTAGGGCTCTAAATGCAGATCTCACAAAGGATATTCCATCAACAAGTGATAATGGTGAAACATTTCATACCAGTAAGGGGTGGTTTCACAATTTTAAAGTGAGAACTGGGATTCATAGTGTCACTACCCATGGTGAATCAGCCAGTGCTGATAAAATGGCTGCTAAAAATTATAAACCACTTTAAAATGACGACATAGAGAAATGGTTTTTGCTCTTATCAAGTTTTCAACTATGATGAAACTGGTTTTTCCTGGAAGAAAATGCCCAGGAGAACATACATCCCAGGAAGAGAAGAAAATGCAAGGCCACAGGCCTGTGAAGGATAGGATAAATTTATTGCCATGTGCCAATGTAACTGGTGACCTCAAGATAAAGCTTCTCTTGGTATATCACTCTGAGACCCCTAGAGTGTTTGGAAAACATAAAGTCATGAAGAATATGCTAGTGGTCATGTGGAGATCTAATGTAAAATCCTGGGTAACAAGAGTACTTTTTCTTGAGTGGATCAGGAAGGCTTTCTGTCCTACTATTAAGAAATATCTAGAGGACAAAGGTTTACAATTCAAGGCTCTCCTCATCATGGACAGTGCTCCTGCTCACCCATAAAATTTGGAAGAAGAATTGGCTGAAGAATTCCCATGGCTCTCAGTTGAGTTTCTCATACCTAATAAAACTCCTCTACTGGAGCCTGTGGACCAGTAGGTTATAGCTGACTTTAAGAAGCTACCCACCAAGGAACTGTTCCTGAAGTGCTTCCAGATGGTCTCAAGTACAGATTTAACCCTTAAAGAGTTCTGGAAGGAACATTACAACATCTTTTCCTGTGTTGGTTTAATTGAGAAATCCTGGGCCAATGTCTCTCTAAGGACACTGAGAAATGCCTGGGAAAAAAATGTAGCCTAAAATTATGGAGGAGAGAGACTTTGAAGCCTGTGTAGAGGAGCCTGAGCCTTCAATTGACCCTATGGTTGATGACATTGTCACTACAGCAGAGTCCATAGACTTGCAGTGAGACAGGGGTGAAGTTGAGGAACTAGTGGAGGAACACTCAGAGGAATTGTCTGTAAAGAAACGTCAGCAACTTCTGACTGAGCAACAGAAAGTGGCAACTAAAGAGTTTTCTGAAGAAG